TGTTCTAGTGTTCAGATTTTGAATTTATTATTTCTTGTAGGTTTAGTTCCCTGGTTCCATCCCTCTGCCTCAATAACAACATTGTGCCTCATTGCAAGACAAAAAAGCGTCATATTATGCTCCCCTAAATTTCAAATTTCAATAAAAAAAAAGAAAACTGAAGCAGAAATGTGTTTCATATAAAGGTGCTGCAAATCTCAGCTACCTGTTGTTGTCCACGTAGCGAATGAGCAAAGGGTAGAGAGCGTACAAGTCCCGACAGAGTACAGCAAACTCATCTCGAATGGTCCCGTTTTCACTGTCCACCTCTGTTTTGCCCTCCATGCGCAGATGATCCTCCTCTGCCACCACCTTTGCTGCACGCTTCTTCAGCTTTTCCATGGTTGGGATAAAGTGGGATTTAAGCATCTCTGGTTTAGCCCTGCTGACAATGGGCTGAGCGAACACTGGACAAGGCACAAAACATTTGCAAGTCATCTCCAAATAATAGTTAGTGTAACATGTGAAAATGTAGTTGTTTACACATTATGATATGCTGCAATACGATAGCTGTGTGTCACGTGACATTGTTTTGGCTTATTGTAAATCCTCTGGTCACTAACCTGCTAATCTTTTCATCCAAGAGGCTTCATCTATACCCAGGTTGTTAACCACAATCTTCATGATGCTACCCAGCAGCTGGTTGAGTTGCTCGGAGGTGACAGCGGTGCAGAGCTGGCCGTCCTGCTCGGGGAAGTTCTCTGGGCCTCTCTCCCACCAGCGCGGGAGATAGTTGCACAGCATGGGCAAGGTGATCTCAATCACATGGGGCATTTCTGTGTAGCGAGCTCCAGACTCAGCCAGGTCATGGATCTCTTTCATCAGAATCTCCAGTTCTGGGATGTCAGGACACAGCTCTTCTACTTGATTGGGAAGACCAAGAACTAAGCGGGGAGAGAAAAGACGAGTGAAATCACATGAAAAATAACTCAGCATGAACACTATCTAATAGTTTGAAGCATGTAAAATTGTCATGAACTGGCTGTGTGGAGGCAGATGAGGACCCAAACGCAAAACTCACGGAGACAGGAACTGAACTCAAAATCATTGCTTTATTGCAGGCCTTACAACGAAACAGAACTAAACTGGGAATACTAACAGAAGACCGAGGGAACACAGAAAGACACACAGGTTCGGGGAGGAGACATTGACGACGCGACACTGAACTGAGGGAGACATGCACATAAATACACAGAGGGTTAACGAGGGAAGTGGGAGCACACGGGGAACACAGATAATCGTAGAGACAGGGCAGGAGTGAACACAACATGACGCATACTGACGAGAGACTGTCAAAGTAAAACAGGAAGTACACAGAGGTTCAGACAGGAGGAGAGA